TTTTTATAATATTTTATATTTATGTGTATAATTATTTATTCAATTTGACAATCGGTTTGATACCGATTCGACTCCGATTCGACTTTTTGACCATTGATCCTCTTCTTTTTCCGGGTCGATGCTCGGGTCGATTTTTAAAACATTGGTTGGAATCAAATTTTTTTCTTCAAATTCCCTAATTCTTAAACATGTTTAATAATTATAAATTGTTTGACTTTTTTATATTTTGAATTTGATTACTTTTTTATTCTAAATTTATTTATTTTAGTGACAAATAATATGCCTTAAAAATATTTTATCGACTTAATTATTTACAACAAATCGGATCGAATTGACCTATATCCATATTTTATTCATTTAGTTAACGGATTATCGAATTCAGATCTTGACCGGATTATCGGATTGGGACCCTAAATTCATCTTCCATTAATTTCGTCGGAAAATCAAAATTCAATCCATTGACAGCCCTACATGTGTGATTGCGTTCTTACCTTCATCGAATGTGCAAGATTTCATCAATTGCCTTCTCAATCTAAAAACTTGTACAGGAAGTGAAATAGAATGGTAAAAAAATTTGCATTTTGATCTCTACTATTGTGACATTCTGTCATTGGAGTGTTCTTACATTCATTGAACATAACGTTTTAACAATTCAGTATATATTAAAGGAAAATTTAGAGACTAGTATTACATAGTTTAATTACAAAGGATAGATATGCTTCAGCAAGCACAGAAAGTTTCAAAGCTTTCCCACCTCTGGGTGTCTAGTACAAAATCTTAACAATCGAGACAATAAGTAGAAGATCTTGTGGAATCATATTCAATATTTGACAACACAGAATCTAAGCGGGGTTTAGGAAATGATTGAAGACTCCATCTGTGTAGGAATCAAAACTCCCAACTGGAGCTCCCCTAATTGGCAAAGTCTCACTGGATTTTTGTATATTGTGATTGCTTTCAATTTATTATCAGTCAAAACGATGCGGGCAATGCTGAAAGATTCACCTTTGTCAACTGCAAATTGCCACTCTCTCACTGATATAGCAAACCAGTCTTTAGCATATTGGGTAGCTTTAACTTCTATGTATTCTTTACTCTCCTCTTCACCTCCTATGACAATGTCATAGGGTAGGCCAGTCTCGTTAACTTCGTTCACCCACTTCACCAAAGTCTTAAAAGCTTTTTCCACAAAGTATTTGAAAGCTACCAGTTCTCCTATTCTGCCTGTCAACATTGCCTGCTTTGCATTTGTCGTACCAAAACAAAGCTGTTCTCTCTCACAAGAATTCAATCCATATACAGAATCAAGATCCATGCTCGTATCAGGTGAGACAATGTTGCTCACATGTTCAGACAGATATTCCAAGGCTTCAGCTTCTAGCGAATCTGCTGCTGATGAACTTGGTACTTGATCACCTTCCGCGGTACATTCTGTATGAACTTGATCACCTTCCACGGTACATTCGGTATGAACGGGATAATCTCTTTGTGCACTAGTTCCTTCCAAGTCATTATTCTTAGTCGTTGGCAGGCTCCAGGCTGCTCGTGTCTCAGATAGATTTACATGGGCAAGGTTAAAGCGAGGTGCAGTTTTCCAACCAACAGGTGGCCAATTTGAATTGATCCCAGTTTTCTTTTTAAACTTCATGGAATTTGTCTTCTCAATTGTGGTGGACATACGATGCTGCATTAATGCTTCATCATTCTCTGCTGACGGTGAAACAGTTGAAATGGACCACACGGACTCTTCGGCTGGGAGTTTTGGAACCTTTTGGCTATTCAGAACAAAAGTTTCCATCTGTTCTTCAGTGGAACCAGATTCTGCCATGATTGTAATCATGTGAAGAAAATTTGCCAAGTGCAGTTCAGGATTTCCACCATACAGTAGACGAGAAAATTCCATGTATAGAGAGTGATACTCTGATTCCCGAGCAGCATACAAGATGTCGCCCTGCAAAAATTACCCCACACAGGAAAATGATCAAAAAGATGTCCATTTTTTTAAGCAAAACATCAGCATATCCTTGATGGGTTTTCAAGAAAATGATAAAAAAGATATCCATATTTACACCATCTTTTAAAATCTTTTAGACACCGCCAGGCGGGTCAGAATCTCTCTTCAAAGCAGCAAGGCATCATAAATTCTTAAAATACTATATTGGAAACGTAATTGTTGCCTCTAAAATAAAATAAAATAAGGAGAATATCATATGCCAAATGTTGAATTGCAAAAACTAATCACCTTATAGCATATATAATTAGATATTATATCCCAAAAAAGTTGAGAAGTGTAAACAAAAACAGGATCATAATTCTCAAAAGAAAAAGAAATATGCATCTGTAGACGTGAAAAAAGCAGCAACAAATTATTTCTGTGTAACCTGCAGAAGAGAACTACACTCAGCCCGTCTCTTAGATGCGACATGAGATCCCTTTAGAACATTCCTGTAGAACAACTTTTCAACAACAATAATCCTTAGACCAATATGAAATCCAGACTTCTTTAGTTGTAAATAATTATCTGGATGCACATTATAAATGTAGCGCAGAGCATATGGAAGAGCCCATTCCACCAACGAAGCTATGAAACTATTGTCCGTCGGCCCATAATATATTGCCTCACGAGTTATAACCTGAAAAAAGAAAGACTTACTGTTAGTTTTGGATACCTTATTAAGCAACGGGGTTCCGTCTTAAAACAATAACCTTGTTAAGAGGAGTAATGACCAATTCCTTCCTTACATGATGATTTATATTTTCGGATCGAAATGATGTGGGATATCTGTGATGCCCCAAGTTTACTTTTCTATAGGATGTCAAACTCTACTCGTCTTTCTTTGAAGGGTTATTGACTTCTAAGGCTTAAAAGGGAAAACTCGTGGGAAATTCATTTTTCTTAATCCGTACCACTTGGCCAAACTCTAGAGTAGGACAATACCCCTCAACATTATCCAAAAAATATGAATTTTGGTATGAAAAAGAACTACTTAAGGACGGTTCCTAAAGTTGGGATCAAGTCTCAATTTATTTACACTCGAGAGAGAGAACTAGAGTCCAGGCATTTCAATAATACCGTTAACATTGCCTTACTATTTTGGCCTCCAATCAACAAACACCTTCCCCATCACCACCCAAAACATGAACTGTGAGAGAGAGAGAGAGAGAGAGAGAGAGAACCTTTGATAGAGCAGGAATTCCTAATCTTTGCATGAGAGTTGAAATCCTTTCCTTAGTGACCTGTTTTTCCTCGTCAGTTAGTTCACCAAAGTAAAGGAAGACGATATTGCAATTTTTGAATTCCTCCTGTAATGTATCATCATCACACCAACAAACAAGGCCAAAGGAAGGGTGCAAAGAAACCCATTTATCTTGAGCAGTGGGAAGCACCGTATATTCCTTTCTTAGAAGACTGTCTTTTAAGTACTCAATATCCCCTGAACACAGTGATCCAGATTGCAATCCATCGGCCCACCTTACAAATACCTGGAAAACCTGCAGTATAAAAGCTATACATGATATATAATTTTTAAGCGTTTAAAACTTCCAATGGATCTAATGAAGCTTTGATTACTTACGTCCTTAGCTGCCTGTGATGGTAACATAATAGTTGACAAGTGCAACAAAATATCTAGGTAGCTACAGAGAGGAGGGTTTTCATTCACTCCACACTCTTTCACAAAAAAGTCACGGAGGTCTGGATAAACACTGCATAATGCTTTGCAAATGGGATAATGAGGCACATCTGAATCACATTTAGGATGGAACAACTCCGCTTGGTTCATGGAAACAATTGAATCATGCCAATGGACTTCTTTAACAGACATAAATAAGCCAGGTACAGTATCCTCAGATGAAGAACTGGATAAACAAGGAACAAATATGAACGGACCAGAACATAAATCCTCAACGATTTTTAGCTTTGAAGTAGCCATCTCCTTCCAAATCCTCGAGTACCATCTGGACATTTGTAATATGCTGCAAAAGGAGAAAAATTCAAAAGCCATTGAATTGACCTAGTCATTAAAAAAATGTATAAAAGCTGAGATTTACCGTGTGAATATATACCTATATTTAATAGCATTATAAATCACTGCATAGTTTACGATCAAGTTCATTTTTGGGTTATCATTATATACATGATAGATGTCACTCCTGAGCCAAGGAAGTCTAATGATTAATTTTTAGATTATATCTTAGCAAAGGGTGTTAGAAAAGAAATTCCCAGTTTACTGCTTGTGTATAGAGTAATAATGTCTCATAAAATCGAGAAAGGGCTTTGTAATAAAAGTGGGTGGAATTTGTTCACACATCCAAAAGGAGCTTCGACAGTCTTAAAGAATTATAGATGTCTAAACTAGAAATATAAGCTAAGATATCCAGAAGGGACTTCAGATGTCAAAACCATTATGATATTTTTGCCAAACAGACCTTTAGACAAGTGAAACAATTTTTGATGTCTCTTTATGATTTCCAAATTAGATTAAGTTTTATTGGATTGGTGGAGTCCAAGGCTGCGAAAAAACAAATAGAAGTATTTCAGTTGGACCAGGGACAAATTGAAATATGTTTGCACATATGATTTCATCTACGGTGGGTATAAATATAGCTACACATACATGCATTTTTCAGAGAAACACAACGATACCATATGTCAAAAATAGAGCACAATATATAGAACCTAAATTGCATAAACCTATCGTCCAGAAATGGGGTAACAAGAGCACACGTACCACTACCTCCCTCTTCTTCCCAACAGCTCACATTATAGATGGTGCAAGGACAACAAAATCTCAGAAACCTACAAGGCTTCTCATGGGAATTCCCTAGTCCCACTAATGAAGCTAATTTTTCATGAAGCTTTTGAGTTAATCTTCAGTCTAATATATAGATCTGGGTTTTTGTGCATTGATCAAGAATGCTATTTTAGTTTAGAGCAGATTTTTCTTTTCAATATTTGACTATGTCTTTCACATTAATAAACCTTCAAATTACATTTAAAAGCAAGAGTGTCCTTTAAAAAAGGCAAAGATAACCAAATATCAGTATCTGATTAAAGCTAGGGATGGTAAGAATAAACACAATATATATAAATCAAAAATAAGTTCTACGTTGTTCTGTTCTTGACAAAAGGGACAAAGATTCCGAACAAGAGAGAAGAAAAGTGAATTTCGGAAGGCAGTCTGAAGGGTGTAAATACATTTAGCGCCTGTTTGAGCCCCATTTTTTCTTCAAAATGCATTTTCGAATAATATTTTGATGGATAATGTGTGGTTAAAAAAGGAAAAGTTTTGGATTTGGGTGTAGTATTATTTTATTGAAGAATGGTGGTTTGAAAAAAAGATAGAGAAATGTATTTTGGAAATAATGGAGACCAAACAAGTGCTTAGCATTAGCTACAGGATTTAATTTACATGTTAAGAAGCAGAGACCATCGATCACATTATAACATAATATTAAATGCGTGAGGCCCACAAAAGAAAATTTTAAAACTGCACCATCTTAAAAATATATTGAAAGTGCACTGTCTTAGCCCCCGTTTGGCCCCCCATTATCTGAAATTTTTAATGGTTGGAATAGTGTTTTTTTGAAAAATGTGTGGTTAAGAAAGAAGAAAAAATTTTGGGATTACATGTAATGTTATTTTATTGGAGAATGTGTGGTTGATAAGAAGAGAGAAAAATGAATTATAATTTAATGGGAAATAATGGGGACCAAACGGGAGCTTAACGGAGTACTAATTCTCAATCCCATTTAATTCAAATTGTCTTTTGAAACATTCATTTGAAAAATGTGTGGTTAAGAAAGAAGAAAAAATTTTGGGATTACATGAAATGTTATTTTATTGCAGAATGTGTGGTTGATAAGAAGAGAGAAAATGAAATAAGGCTCCCACTTGTTAAGTAACAAAACTAATGCTTTCTTAACTCTTTTTTTATATACTTCATCACCTTCTCAACATTATCTAATTTGTAAATAGATGCAGGCATGTGCTTCAGCCCACGTCACAAAAATCAGGTGAAGTTATGGTTAAATTGCCTAAACTACAATAATTCAATCCTCCTGTAAAGGTCAAGGGTTATGCTGTTTTTATTACATTTTTAACTATCCTTTTTCATTTTTAGTTGCAGAAATGTAAAATCATATCTCAACTATATTTTTAACTGGAAAACCACATAGTAACAAATCCATTGAGTAAAGGCAACTTGCTATGCATTAAACCAAAGGGACTTTCAAAACATCCTTTCAGGAATAGCAAAAAATTTAAACAGAAATCATAACTGCATTCACTGTATCATTTTCAGGGAAGTTAACACCAAAAAAAAAATATATATATATATATATATATAGAANNNNAATATATATATATATATATAGAAGGAAAAACTACCTGGCCTTGAATGGCGATGCAGATCTTCTCCACACTTTTAGAACTGATAACATGTCATCTAACATCACTTGAGTTTTGAACTCTATATCACGTAGCATCTTTTCACTCACCTATTTTTGCGCAAAAAGAAAAAAGACAGCCACTGCGTCAACTTACATAAAGACCACAAACCAGAACTCTAGAAGTTCTGAAGGATTACGTGCATTTCCATACTAGGACATGTTGACGGATGTGACATGAGAGAGTTGGAGATAGAGAAGAAACATATAAAGAAACATTCAGTAACAGGAAAGATTACATCAACTGTAATCATAGAACACAAACACACTTCAAAACAAACTTAAAATTCTTAAACATTCCCCAAAATTCAATTACAACTCATCTTGAATCCCTTGACTCTGTCCCAAAACAAAATTCAAGATGGTGGACTACAAAATCCCTCCTACCTATTCATCGAAGTTCCACAAAAATCATCAAATAATCATGCTTTAGGTACAAAAACTCATAAAGACTTCTTGGACTGAATTAACCCCCAAAACTGTACAAAAGATCCTTTTTATACCTTTCTTCTTTATCATGTGTCCGTCCACTATTGTTGAAATGTTTCTAGTCTTTAAATTCCAAATTCTAAGTGTAAGTCATTTAAACATCGGCTAGTCCAATACGCCTTAGTCCAGGTTCCAAATATCTATATAATGAAAGTGAAGGAGAGGAAGTGTTTTAACTTCTTCTCTCCGTTATTCCTTTTACCAAACTCTAACACAAATAATTAAAATGGTGGATTTGGCCTGTAAGCAAATAAAACTCATGAATCCCAAGAGAAGAAGAAAGTAGCAATGAGAAATTGCTGTTCCTCATGTTACAAATTAGTGAAACTTGCTGCTATTATATTCTCGTTTAGAAATTATTAAGTCAATTTTTATTTTATTCGTAAGTTGTTTCAGTCTTCAGTTTATTTACGAGTTTGTTATTGGGTCTTTGTTTGCTGAATAAGTTTCGGAGCACGTTGGTTCTTTCAGTTTGATTAGTTGAGAAACTTTAGGAGAATCTTGATGAGTGCTCCACACATGATATTTATGTCACTTAATGCATTATTTTGTTAGCCTTGAGAAAGTTTTAGAGTGTTTTTATGTTTGTTTTGATGTTGTGATGTAGGTTGGTAAGATTGAAGAAAATAAGCAAAAGTTGACAAATTTGTAGAAATGCCTAAATTGTAAGAGATCCAAAGTTCGGGGACTAAAGTGCAAATACTTAAAAGTTGTGTCGAACCTCACGATGAAGATTTGAGAGTGCTCGGAGTTAATTGGATAAAGGAAGACGTCAAAGGGATCAAATTTAGTCAAAAGATGATCACAAATCAATTTCCAACCGAAAAGTTATGCTCCGGAGTTTTAGTCTCATATTGAGACCTTTTTTTGGCATAGAAAAAGATTAAATTGGAGAATGATGTCTGAATCAAAGTTGTAGCCCGATGAGTTAACTTTCCAACGTATCTTGAATCACCTCAATCGGACATCGAAATAAAAAGTTATGATAAAAATACTGAAAAAATGTGCAACTGCCATTTTTACCCGACGGCGCCCACTGTTCTGAAAACAGGCAGAGAGCGCAGAGCGGCGCTGCGGCACCCAATCTAGGCGCCGAGGCCCTGGCTCCCGAGAAAGAGGAAAATTGGAAATTTTAAAAGATTTTCGGCCCGGTCCAACCCTATTTCGTCTTGCAACTTGTGGACACTATAAATACCATCATAAAGACCTAATTTTAGAGGTTGGAGAAGGAGGAAAAAGATACAAAACGGCTAAATCTTCAAGGACAATAAGAAGAAGGATTTGAAGAAATCAAGTGAAGAAAGGGTGGAANAGATTTTAATTCGGAATAGAGATATTGGGATTTAATTTTAGGATTAATTTCTAGCCGGCACTCGAGAGAGGTGAGAGAAATACAATATGATTCTTGCCTTTAAATATGGGAAAATCAATTGGAATAATTTGAATTCATTGAATCATAATTGAAAGTTAGGTGAAATCAGGCTTTCTCATTTTGATAATTTTATACAAGAACGACACTTGGGAGCTTGTTCCAAAGCCAAAGAAAGCTGATTTGGTTACTTGTAAATGGTTTAAAAGTTGAAGAAGATAGTTGATGGCACTATTAATAGGTATAAAGCCCGTCTTGTTGCTCGTGATTTCTCTCAGCAATATGGTCTAGACTACGAGGAGACGTTCAGCCCTGTCGCTGAAATGGTGACTGTTCGAACAATTATTTCATTGGCTGCTTACAATGCTTGGAAATTGTTGAAGATATGGAAATATTAATCTCTATGATATTTTTCTAATAGTGTAGGATTATTTTCCTTAATAATTGATTGTATAATTATTAAACAATATTTCTTTTTTGAGTTATTTATAGCCTTATAAATAGGGTCTTTTACTTTGTAATAGAAACAAGTTTATTATATACAATTTATAATATTCTTCAGTATCAGAGCAGTTTCGATCCTAAACAAATTGATCTTTGAATTTCGTTTCCGACGAGCGGCTCAAGGCTACCAATGTTGTTTTTATTTTTTTCTTTTCGAATGTATCCCTTTGGTTTAGTATATTTCCAGTTCATCTGAAATTTGGTCCAGTATATGTCCAGTTCATCTGGAATTTGATTTGGTGTTGGTTCAGTGTATCCGAAATTTGAAATTTGCATCCAGTTTATTTGGCATTTGTCAAGCTGGAATTTGAAATTTGTGTCCAGTTCATTTGGTATTTGTCAAGCTGGAATTTGAAATTTGCATCTCTTTGGTTTAGTAGTGGATGCATTGGTTACTTGCGGATATGGGTGTTCCTTCTTCCTCTCCAACCCGTATTGAGATTGACTATCATCTGATTTCTCCTTCAAGTCTTGGTGATGGTTTGGTTAGATTGGTGGATGATGATTTTTCATTATCATCAACTTTGAGTTATTTGTTCGGTTTGGTTGACATACAAGCAATTTTGAAGATTTGATTGGATCGATTTATCTTTCAAACTCAATTTGATTGTTGTTACACCATATTGAGTTTGAGGAAGGGTGTTGATGATATGAAAATAATAATCTCTATGATATTTTCCCAATAGTGTATGATTATTTTCCTTAATAGTTGATTGTATAATTATTAAGCAATATTTTCTTTAGCCATATAAATAGGGTTTTTTACTTTGTAATAGAAACAAGTTTATTATGGACAAACCACGTGAGTGACATTTAATTGCAGCAAAGAGGATCCTTCATTACATGAAAGGCACTCTAAATTATAGGTTACGCTATAAACAACATATACCATTCCTTTTGACTGGTTTTGTTGATGCAAATTGGGCTGGTGATGTTAATGATAGCCACTCCACAACTGGTTACTGTTTTAATACAGAAGTAATTTCATGGTACAGTAAAAAGCAAACCTGAGTTGCTCTTTCTAGTTGTGAAGCTGAATATGTAACAGCTACTATGGTCACTCACGAGTGTATTTGGCTTAAGAGGCTTATTCAAGAAATATTTTCTGCTTTGGACTCTCCAGTTCCCATTAAATGTAACAATGAAGGTGCAATTAAGCTTGCTGGAAATCCAGTATTTCATGCCCACACAAAACACATTATAATTTTGTTCGAGAAAAGGTTTTGACTTAGGACATTCAGTTGCAGAAAATACGAACGGGAGACCAAATTGCTGATATATTTACTAAAGCACTTGCCAAAGCTAAATTTGAAGGGTTTCGGGGAGCTCTTGGTGTTGTTGATAGCAAGGTTGCACTAAGGGAGTGTGTTACAAATTAGTGAAATTTGCTGCTATTATATTCTAGTTTAGAAATTGTTAAGTCAATCTTTATTTTATTTGTAAGTTGTTTCAGTCTTCAGTTTATTTAGAAGTTTGTTATTTGGTCTTCGTTTTAATAAGTTTAGGGACACATTGATTCTTTCAGTTTGATTAGTTGAGAAACTTTAGGAGAATTTCTCTATATAAGTTGTATTCTGTACTCGCAGCTATATACACTGCAGCACTTCAGTTTTCATTTTTCTGGCTCTAGTTTTCTTCAAGAAATAAAATGCAGATGGAAGAATAGGATCTGGTCTTTCCTGCTTCTCTGCTTCTCGCTGTTTTTCTTGCTTCTTAGGTTTTTTATAATCTGTTACAGTTTGTTACTTACACCTTATGTGGTCCCATATACAATTGATTTTGTCTTTTGGTTAGAAACACTTTGATTTTTGGATTAATTACTTATATTATTCATCAAATTCAAGGGTTACTTATACAAAGATTAGTCCTACCTATAGAAGGAAGAAGGAAAATGGAAAAAGGAAAGTCTGGAAAGAAATCCTAAAAGTAAAATATATTAATCTTAGCTAGACTAGGATATAATCTAGATGGAAATATTTCCATAATCTATTATTCTAACTTTCACATTCTAACTGAAATCAAGTTGATTATATCTCGATCATATAAGACTACCAGAGTAAACTCAATTAACAGCTAATGAACAGTTATACATAACAAGCAACGTCGCATCCTTTAGTTACACTTTAGCTGATGATGCAAGATAAGGACAAAGGACTTGCAATAAAAGCATCACCGTGACATTTTTTTGATGAGATGGAACACTTTAGGAGATTGCCAATAAATAACATAATCTAGGCAATTCTACAGAAAAATGCACTATGAAACCATATAGAAGAGTTTTTAGATTGTTTGGAGAGAGCAGAGACATAGTAATATATACTTCAGTTCATTAATCAAAGTTCATGTTGGTACTCATCTTTGTGATAAAAAGACCTAACATATAACACAAAAGTGTGTGGTTAAAGATATAAAATGCGTGTCAATGTGGGGCACAATCATAGGAGGGCATGACAAGAAAACTTTAATGATTTTCCCTTAGAAAGGTGGCAACAACTCCTTTCTCTTCAATTTACTTCCTCAGTTACAAGTAATCTTAGAGATCTAAATCCAGATTAATAGAAGTTATAAATACCAAATAGTTGAACATTTGACAACACTCTGCACACTGCTCAGGTTAGAGGGTATTGCAATACAAAATTGAATCTGAGCTGTCAATGAAACCAAGGAGAAAAATAAAGAATAGCAGCACCAATATGTGCTCTCCAGCTATGAATACAGAACACAAAAGATCGGAAAGAACTTTTTGCAAAACAACGGCATATAATGATCAAAACTAACCTTTGGTACAGCATAAGGAGCACTAGCACCCAGAATCAAGCGCACCGCTTCACAATCCTGAAAGACATCTTTGGGGAATTGAAGCTCATTATCAATACTTGAATTGATCCAGCGAAAATTATGGAGCATACTGATCAGTGAGGACTTGAAAGGTTTTCTTTCACCAGAAACATCACAGCAGTAGCCAGTGACCTTATCACTGAAGCAAGTATCCCACAGCGTGTTAAGTATCTCCAAGAGGTAGCTGCACTTCTCCCGGTCACCCTTTGACGACAGTTGTGCTAGTAAATGAACCAACTCTTCAGATTCCCAATCTATGACAACTGATCCTGTAGATAACACATCTCCATCCAACACCTTACCTGTATCTTCAGATACAACAATGTTCTTCTCTATTTGAACAATATGCACAAAATCGGTAATACCCAAGTCTTTGAAAAAACACCTCCACTTCAGCATTCCACCAGACACAGATTTTGTGACTGGATGGTTCAAATAGATAGAGTCAACTTCATGCCATTTGACTTCCGTGCCACTTAACAACTTATTCAAGTCAATGGTATTCCCAAAATCTTTGCTGAAATGGATTGGGACTTCAATAAGGCGTTTGTATCCATAATTTGTTAAAATTGGAACTTTACTGCGTAATTCTAACATGATGCTTGCCCGTTCTGTACAGCAATTGGGACAACTTGATTGCAGATGACACATCACAAAAGAAAGATACTCTGTCATCAAATCCTCCACCCATGTATCTCTGTCACCAGAGATAGCGGGTAGGATATGCACCTTTACAATATCATGTGCTGATAACCTTTGGACACCAACTCTGTAGAGCATCCTAGTAACATTCTCCACGCTAAATGTGTCAAAACATGAGGTTTCAGCTGCAGCTGCCGCAGAAAGAAGAGCAGGACTCACAGTTCGAAGTTTTGCGTACAAAATTGGAAAGGTTTCTTCACTATAATGATCAATGACCCTGGTGCTCAAGGCATCAGAATGTAGCCATATTGTACCTTCATCCACTGAGCTATATGTACCGTCTGAAAGAGGAATAAACGGACATTTCCTCAAATTTACTAAGAGATCTAATCCAGCAACAGAGTTTAGGGAAGTTTTCCCAGAAGAATGAGATGAAATGACATAAATGGCATTGAGCCAAGAAGACAGCCAAATCAAACCCATCGATTTTATACCATTCTTGGAACAACACAAGGAAGACATAATGCGAAGTAGAACTTTGGGACCATACTCCTCCACACCGAGAGCCCTTGCTAATGAATCTGATAGAATTATATCCTTATCCAAGAATCCGAGGCCAAGGTGTTCTCGAAGCAAGCTATCAGGTAAAAGAGCACGATCTTGTTGACTCCAACTTCTTAGAACCTTGCATGGAGGTACCCATACATTCTCGTCACCTTCCAAAATAAGGCAGTTCGACACCCGTAATTTAGAAATAATCATTCGGGGAAGGCTAGAGAAGAATCCGTGCACGTCACCTAGAAGAGGAACAAAGTTCATAAAAGCTGAAACAGCCTTTCCCGGACTCCCTCTAAAACAAGGAAGATCACAAAAAGATCTCTCTGCACCGACAAACAAGCCAGGGAACTCTGATATTAACCACTGATTCCATGGACTATCCCCATCAACCTCTTCTCTGGATGAAGGCAACACAAAATCGCCTTGGAGAATAAACTTAAACCCATATGTTCGTAGAGGAAGAAACGCAAAAACAGGCTGTTGGTCTAGATGTGGGATATAATCTCCATTTTCTGTCTCCTGCAGCGTAAATGCTATGGAAATTTCTGTTGTTCGCACATCTGGTCTAATAACATCAGCCCGCAGTTTTTGTGATACAACAAAAAATGTCATTTTCTCCTCCCCAACAGAAACCTTAACAATGCCATTACCAACTTCTTCTTTTTTCATAACAGTGAGTGTATCATCAAGCATGTTTTTAAACTTTATACATTGAAGACGACGTAGAAATAGTAGCAAAGATGGATGAAGATCAGAAAACATTGATACAATGTTATTCATGGAACACACTTCTAGCGACTTTGACTGGAAAGGTAGCACAATACATGTGTTCCAAAGGTGAATATTGACTTGATCGGCATCACCAGACACAAGCCTGGCATACAAGTCAGTATTACACGGTGGAACAACTGTTGGCAAAATAAAACCAATCTGTCCCTCAGTTATGTCAAACTTAATGTGAAATCCACCAGAATGAATTTCTGGAGCATCCGTTACCTGCACCAGATAAGGAAACAAAAACAATTCAGAGAAAGCTGATCATCCACTCAGTCAGACTAATCCTCCATTGTTGTTTGAAGTCTAAATAAATACTTTCTTGTAGTAATTTATATCGTAATTATGCAAGGGCAGAAGAAATGTCTATTATCAAACCAACTTGTAAAAGGGCAGTTATACAACAAACCAACTTGTAGAAGGGCAGTTATACAACTTCTAAAGTCAAGGAAAGTCATGAAATTACACAAGCACCAGTGAACCTCACCTTCATAAAGTAAAAACAAGAACCATCAGTGCAATAACAAAATAGCACTACAAAAGAAAAACTAAGTAATCACTATGTTTGCGAGCCGTAATACTGAGTTCCATGTTTATACCTTTGATTCCATTACATCTTTAAATGTTATTTTCTGGACTACCATGTCCCTTTCAGTTTATTTCTAAAAACTTCTCTTCCATTAAAATGAAGACATTATGTGCCAAAAAAAGAAATAACAACAACAACAACAACAAAAAATAAAATAAATCAGCAGGTTAAAAGACGCAAGGGAACATACCCGGAACACGGATTTGAAGCCAATGCCTTTCTTTCCAATATATCCCAAATGTGATTTCTTTGTAGAATTTCCAACATCGCAGAGTGCTCTGATGTTCTCAGCAGAAAAGCCTTGTTCATTATTTAGGACAATAATGCCCTTTTCCTGAAGTATGAATACCAGAGTAGGTACCACATTTCCTGGATAAATATTATCATCGGCATTCTGAACCTAAAGCACAATGACAAGGCAAATGAATAGATCAATAGTATTCTCACAGATAAAACAGAATGCATCATGTCGTATTGTTTAGAGAATCACGATTTCCATTAAACAGTTTTCCCATTTCCATTTGTAAAAAACTTTATTACTTCCCTTTCACACGTTGCTCTGTTCTTAAAAACTCAAAAGTAGCATCTCATACGGCCCCAACATCATTAAAGAGTGTGTGAATGGGAAATCTATAAGGATGGCTGCGAATTTTATTATCATATTAGCAAAACATAGCCTTCCACCACAATGGAAGTTATAAAACCAGCATTATATGAAATACAGAATCACAGAAAATCCTTGATTTTTCATCCACCAGAACATTGTAATTAACTCTACATAGCATTGACAAAGAACTAACAAATTGGAAAAATTAGGTTGGCGACATACTGACGGCAAATAAGACCAAGAATTTTCATAGTGCAAAAAGGTAGTTTTTCTCTAAATTTATTCAATAAAGTATTTACCAGGACCTCTTAGCATGTGACTTAGTCCATCCTAAAATGTTCAAAACTGCAAAAGTTAACTGCAAGTTCCAGAAGGCAAAACCATATCATGGAACTCATATGACATAAAAAATTACCTTCATCATTCCAACAACTTGAAATTTAGGCTAAATGATTTATTTTATAATCAATCCAATATATAGGAGTAAAATCTATAGAAGGAAAAGAAAGAAAGAGGAAAAATATTAATTCCTAAATAGACAAGGATTGGGGGCGGAAGCAGACAATTAAAGTTAGGGGTGCACAATCGAACTTGCAAAAAAGTTGGGAGAAAATTTACAATCGAAAATTTACATCCAAAAAAATCATACCCCATGTAATTTTGCATCCGAAAATTTATATAGAATATGACTTTTTCGAATGTAAAATTTCGAAAATTTTTGATGTCATATCCCATATAAATTTCCTAATAAAATAATGCAAATTAGATTGAGAAATTTGTATCACAAAAATAATAAATGTTAATGAAATAATTAATTTTTTTTAAAAAATGCGAGTTAGACGCCTCTTTTTAAGACATACGTTTGACGCATCTTTCACTATTTTCGATATTCGTTTGAATTATTCGTTATGCCTATAATGTAGTCCTCGAAACGAGCTTTGAGATGATATAAGCGATTTGTAGATTCGACTACCGTACGATCGTCGGAGAATTTTTAAAATTAGCATGTTATCGAAATTCTCGAAATACTAATTTTAAACCGCCTATTTTGACAAGTCGTAACATTTACTACGATTGGTCGTTTCGTACGCCGTTAACGACATAAAAAACTAGACTGTGAGCACTTCGAAATGGTATTAAGAATACGATATTTCGATTTCGTTTCACATCTTATAATGATTTCGAAAATTGAAACAAAACATAGAAAAAAAGCAGCAAAGTTGGGGGGGGGGGGACACGTGCTCCCCTAGACCCACCCCTGGGTCCGCCAGTGACTAGGATATATGCTCGAAGGAAATATTTTTATAATCTCCTATTCTAACTCTCCTCCACAAGTTGGTGTATTGATATCACACATATCCACTTTTCATGTTGATATATAGAATGACTCTGAAAACCCCCCTAAAAACGTTTTCAATATATCCCCTACCTATTAAAAATCGCAAAAAACTCAATATTTGAAACCTTGTGCGAAAAAGCCCCCACCCCACCTTATCTTCTTCCCTAAAAATAAAATAACCAAAAAATAAAAAGGTTCTCTCCTTTAAAACCTCGCCACCCATCTCAGGCCAGACGCGTTATAAATCGCCACCACCACCATCAAACCACAGTCACCCATTTGACAGTCCCTTCAATTAATTGAGATCGAAATTAAGGGCTGGATTGGATCAATTGTTTGAATGCCCATGTTTGTTTGGCTTTGATTATGCATTTCCCCATATGAATTTATAGATTGAAGCACTTGGGACTCATCAATTTTTGAAAGAACATAGTTGCTTGCGTAGCGGTCGGGGTAAATTTTGAACCAAAAATTGTAGTTGGGGAATAATTGGCTCAATTAAATTCATATCCATGGTTGTATGGACTTGGTTTGATTGATGTCAATTTGGGGATTGGATGATGTGTGAGACATGAACTGAAGGAGACGTGTTCGGCAAAAAATGAGTCGTGACTATCGAAAAATCCTGAATAAAAGCAGATTAAATGAATGCTTTTTGGTTTAATGTTAGGCTATGTTTAAGGTCGTCTAGATTAGGGCTAACCGCCGTGGTGGTGCGCGACCATGGGTGTCACCGGAATTATGGTTGTCGACAAGAAAAGTGTTCGCCAGTTTGTTGTTTTGGCTTGAAATTGTGCTATTTTTCATCGATTTGATGTCGGCATTGGGATGGAAGTTGCTAGCGTGCATGGTTGGATGCTTTAATTAACCAGAGAAGGGATTATTAATCTACTCAATGGATATCTTGAATTTTGGAATACGAAATGCACCCACTTCTTCTTGTTCATACGGGAGGCGATTGTCTAAGAATCCGAATTCAGAGTAATTTTTTTCTACTAAATTTGGAAGTCCATCTTTGGCATCGGGAAGAATAAAATATATAAAAGTGGGGTGGGGGGAAGTGAGGTGAGGTGGGATGGGATGGGATGGGATGGGATGGGATGGAAAATAAAGTTTTAAAGATTTGGGATGGTAGGTGACACGTATAAAAAATTTGGATTTAATTTGTAAAAAAAAAAAAAGTTCATGGGTACTGAAATTGCAATTATTTCTCTAATTTTGGCATTTTTTACTGTTTTGAACGACAAATCTTAAGAATTTTGACGTCAGGGGGTTTTCCGCACAAAAGGTTTCAAACAAGGGGTTTTTCTGCTATTTCCAATAGATAGAGGACCAGTGCAAGTAGAAAAAACTTTCCCCCTCTACCAGTTCCAATGGTCATCTTAGTTAGATTGTCTTGCATGAGTAGTTACTTCGAATACATGAAAAGCATAAGACCAGCAACAAAATACTGAAGCCCACAAATAGATAACATGCACAAACAGCAGGCACAAAAGGGTGTGAAATCTTTGAACACTATAAAGGCCCTTCACACGCATCTACAAACAGCCGACAAGAAAGCCAATAACGTGTCTCCGACAAGTAGAAGGCTTAACGCACGCAGCAAAAGCTTCACATGCTAAGCAAAAAAGGTCGTCGAAGCTTGGATTTTTAACCAGAGAGTCAGCAACCACAAGGTGTCGCTTATTGTAGATGTAATCTTCACGAAGTAGTAGAGGGTAGAGAAGTCTGTCAAACCCTTAGGGAATACTAGAGCACTAGGTCAAATAAGACGAAGGGTTATGCAGTACTTAAAAGTGTCTCCATAGGGTATCTGGCAAAAATAATAGAAGGGTCGCACAAGAATCCCATAGCGTACAAGATGGCTAGGTTGCCAAAGATGAAAAGTCACGTAACTCTGAGAAGGTAACCGGAGGATCGGAACTCAATAAAACTTGGACCTGGGAATCACAAAATTTAGAGGTACTAGAAGACTCAACAATGTAGTAGAATGCCTAAGAACGTTGGTAGCAAGAAATCTCCTGCAATGTAATTTAGGGTTCGAAGCCCCGAAAACAATACCAAACAAAAAACCGGAATCCTAAGAAAATAGCAATCACGCAGAATTGGGATGATGATGGAAAGGGAACTCACTGAACCAATGAGAAGGTGAAATAAAATGCTAGAAATAGAAGAATCTTAAAGTCCAAGGACCAATTTGCCACAAACAGAAACCTCAGAGACTAACTTGCTCCAATCTAAAAGTCTATGGGCTGATGTAACTTAACATAAAGTCCAGGGACTAACATACAAGATTATGAAAAACCTCATGGACCATTCAAGAAGGTCAGGGACTAATATGTAACATTCAGAAACATAAGGAACCAACTTATACAATTGGAAAACCTCAGGGGCAGAGAGGGGGGTCTGAGGCACACAATTAAAATGGCCGAAGAGGTTTGGGGAAAAGAGAAAAGGATCTGCAACATGAGAGATAGTGACAAAGAAATGGAGAAGTCGCGGCTGTGTTTTCTGCACTCTATTCTCGTTAGACACACAGCAAGAATCAATTGGCCGACAACCAGTCAATCGCTTCATCCGATTATGGCTTCATCTGTTGCGTGGGTTGGTTGCGGGTAGATTTAGGGTTTGAAAATGGATTTCTTTGATTTCAGAATTTGTGTATCGGTTCTTCAATTAGGTTTGCAATTTGAAAACCTAATTTTCAGGGTATAGGGTCGCCGGAGTGAAATAGAGTTTACAGTCACTGGAGATGAAGGTTCGCTAGAGATAGATAATTCAGCCAAAATTGATATATAATAAGAAACCAAAGGGCTTGGCCGGAGAAAATAAGTTTGCAACCCCCATAACTGTGAAAAACGATCAAATGACATGCCTGGAATTACATGTACTAGCCTAAAAATTGGCAGCAGGAAGAAAAAGAACGGTGGAAAAGTGTAATAGGCAAGAGTTAACAGCTTATAATCTTACCAGTTCCAAGATGAAATGTGAATCTTGAGAATACAATTCGTGGGAGAGACAGTGAAGCGCCCTCCCTAACCTAGCATGTTGCTTCTTCAACGTTCTGGTTTCTATATCTGAAAGACTTGGATCCAAACCAAATTCTTCTAGCCGAATAGTTTCAATTATTCTGGCTGGATCACTATTTGTATCAAGTTTAGATAAGCTTCTTGTAGAATCAACACCCGAATTATCCACAGAAATCTCAGCAACGTTCCTCACCTCATTGGCACCTACACAATCTTCTGCATACGTCCTAACCTGATTGGAGATCATCATTTTATCTCCAGAAGAACAGCTGTTTAACATATTTAAAGTCATGCTGAAGCCAGAACTTGCAGCTTTCAAGGATGAAGATTGTGAAGAGATTGATGGGTTAGAAGCTGTAGAGGAATTGAGCAAATGGTAATCACCAATCCATTCTACTACATTAAGAGATATCCCCACTTCATGAAGCATGAGACGTTGCTCTATTTTCTCACATTCACTCAAGATGGCAGAAGGAGCATTTCTGACAAAACATTTCAATCCAGCAAGCAGTATGTCAGCAGCAAAACTGCAGAATTCAATAGGCAAATAACCCAGACAATCAAGTATGAACCGTGATGCCACAGAAACCAGATCATTAGCAATTGCTCCTGTTTCCGTGGAACGACTAGAGCAGTTAGATTGCTGTCTATCCAACTTCTTTCCATGTGGAATGAAATGCTGTTCTAATTCCATTTCCTGGAAGTTCTTGAGAAGAATTTCAAAAGCTTGCCGCGCATGGCACTTTAGTAGAGATACTGGGACATTTCTTTCACCCCCATACAATGAAATCAGAGATAATAGTTTCGATGCTATTTCAAATGAAGATCCACGAAGGAAGACTTCTCGAAATGACTCGACGGTGGCTGAATGATCTAAACGGATTACTTTGCCACCCTTTGTTACCATGCACATAAATTCCTTTGTGTTTACCTCATTCAACAGCCATTGCAGAAGAGGACCAAGAGAAGGAGCAAATACAAGGTCCCAATGCGACCACAATTCTAGATCGGCCAACATCGGCGCCCTGCATAAGACTTCGATTGCATCTTTTGTTGTCACTACACCAAGCATACCAGCTTTACCATAGCTGTTGATCTCCAACCTTGAAGTTTCTGATAAATTTTTCTCTTTTTGAGCTGATGAATCTCCAAAACGAGGCATTCCTGACAAAGTTGCAGAAAATAGAACACATCCAGAACTTGGATTGCCTTCGCTTTTTCTAATATCAACAGAGTTCATCAAAGATTCACTTCCCACTATTTTGAAACTGACTAACGGAAACTGCCTTATTAGTAACTCAGAGACATTTTGTGTGCTTATGTTTTCATTTTCCCACATGTTATTTGAAGCTTGTGATAGTAATACAGTGAGCTGAAGTGGTAGAAGATAAGCTTCCACAGAAGCCTTTTCAATTGGATCACCAATCAAGCATTTTTGTAATGCATGGGGAAGTAGGTCAATATGTTTTTCCAAGAACATCAGAAATTCTCCATAACCAAGTGACTCGAAATCCTTAACTGCAAAATGCTCGATTAACCAAGACTCACACTTGTAAAGCTCCCTCAAGAAGAGGCATATCTTATCTCGAGGGTGATTTCTATATCCCCGGATATCTGCATCAAGTTCAAAGTGTTCTGTAACTTTTTTCATTATATCTTCCACTGTGATCCCTGAGACAATATGCAATAATATGAACATAAGATAGGCAAGGCGAGTACACCATGTCAGCACCAGTTTTATTATGTTTTAAGAGCTAAATAGGAACAAGATATAGCAGCATAAATCCGATGAAAATGGCCAAAATTAAGAAATATCCTAATCAAACATAACTAACCATTTTCATGCTTCACAGTTGTCTTGTCCAAAAGTGGGACATCCTTTTCAGCTGGTTCATCAACTTTTACGCTCATATTACCATCAAAATTCTCTGAGATTGTGTTGGCTACTACTTGTTGGTGTAAAGTTTCGGAAGTATCAAGCATGGAATCCCACATTCCACATTTAATAGAGGTGACCTGCATAACCACGTGAGACACAGCAAAATAAATATAAGCAGAAAAATGAAAGTCAATGTAAATAAAGTAGTGTAAGGTATCGCAAGACCAAGAACAAAGTGTCCTGTAGCACATCTAACTTAAATGGATAACAGATGTACGTAATTATTTGTGTTCTTTCATACAAATTAGACATCAGATAGATTTATGCCGTAAATTATTTAAAATATTCTTATTGATCACTTAACACTTGGCTCTTGCAGAATTCTACAAGAAAAGACTTTGCCTTAATAATGGTTTCAAGCTCGTGGTGGTGGTGGTAGAATCGTAACTATCTTGTTTCACATCAGATATGGGAGTCCAGAGAGCAGTCACGCTCATTCTTTCCCTCCATTGTCTCTTCCCTTCCCCAGTGACTTTTTGTCATTCTCTATTATCAACTCATTATACTATGATTCAAATATGGCACCACAACACCCTTTCCAAAGCGTATATCAAAGTTTTTTATCAATTTAAAGGTGAGTTCTATTTTGTTGGTGCTTAGCATAATTGTGTTTGGGTTTTGAAGTAAACTAAACAGAAAAAGATAAGAGATTAACATACATGTGTTTCACTATGTAATTTAGGGACACCTCTTGAGGTCAATCCAAGACCACGGTTTTGAAATCATCTTGTTGAAGGAATTTTTAGGATTCAATGGAGAGATAAGACATAATTTTACTTGTCTGACTATAGTGGCTAGTTCTGTAGAAGATTTTAGTGGGCTAGTGTGTGAATTTTCATGGTGTTAGATTCTAGATGATTCTAGATGGCTCTCGATCTCTCTCGAACATTGCCACATTTCAATTCTGTTAGATGGTTAGCTTAGTTGTTAGAATGTTAGTTAGTGTTAGTTAGTTTTGGCGCCAACTCTTTTTTCTTATTTATGTAGCTGCTGTAATCCCTTTTCAATTAAGTTGAATTAAACATAATTCTCTTCTTATTGTGTTCTCTCTCAAATCTGATATGGTATCAGAGCAGCAGGTTCATTCGTTGCATTTATTATCATAAAACAATTAAATCATTGTTTACATCTATTCTATCATGGATCCTGAAATTCAGCCAGAGCCGAGACAGGTTGTGAAGATTGGCGTTGATGATTCTGCCAGCCCATTCTTCCTCCATCATTCGGATAGTCCCGGATTGGTTTTGGTGTCTCTGCAACTCACTGGAGAGAATTATACCTCCTGGAGTCGTGCAATTGCAGCTGTGGGAAGTGCACCTGTGAGGGTGTGAAGGGTTTAAATGAACACTATCAAACAGAATATGTGATGTCCTTTCTTATGGGACTGAACGACTCTTTTTCTCAGGTTAGTGGACAGATTCTATTATCTGATTCATTGCCTCCAATCAATAAGATATTCGCATTGATTAATCAGGAGGAAAACCAAAGGAAGATAGCACACACAGATGCTGTAGATAATTCGAATAATGCTGTTGCATTTGCTTTAAAGACTGATAACAACAGATTAGCTGCTGGATATATTAATCATGGTACAAATGTGAGGTATGGAGCTGCTGATAACAACAGATCTGCTGTTGGATCTGCCAATTATGGTTACAACATGAGGTATGGATCAGCTAGAAACTTCAGGAAGGACAAAGCATATTGCACACATTGCAAAATCCATGGACACTCAGTTGACAAGTGTTACAAAATTCACGGATATCCTCCTGGGTTCAGGACGAGATCAAGGGATTTTTCTGGGCAAAGCAATGTGAATCAAGTTTCTGTTTCTGCTAATGTGTCTACTGATGGGCTGAAAGAAGATAAGAGAGAACAGCAATCAGTTGTTGGCAATTTTGTTCAGAATTTAAATACCAATCAATACCAGCAGCTCATGGCAATGCTATCTAATCACTTGTCCTCAGGTATCAATATGAATCCTAATGATTCGAATGACTGCAGCCTTAACTCATATGCTGCAGGTAAGTGTTACTCTTTCTCAATAGCACATAATCTGCTATTCAAAGATGTTTGGTTAATCGATTCAGGAGCAACCAAACACATATGTTGCTCTGCCACAGCATTCATATCAATGAGAATTATTGAAAATACGATTGTCACCTTGCCAAATCACACACAGATATCAGTCAAGATGTGTGGTGATGTTAGACTAAGTCAAAAAATTATGCTGCATAATGTCTTGTTTGTGCCGCAATTCAAATTTAATTTGATCTCAGTTAGTGCTTTGACACTTGAATCGAAACTCACCATTAGCTTCTCTGATGATCACTTCATTATTCAGGACCTCAGATCCAAGACGATGATTGGCAAGGGTGACCGGGTGGAAGACTTATATGTTCTTGATGTTAAGACATTAGATTCTGTTTCAAACACTTGTGTAAACCAAGTATCTGTGCATGTTTGGCACAATAGGTTAGGCCATCTTTCTTTCAAAAGATTGGACTGGTTAAGGGATCATTTGCCTTATGATTTCAATAAATCTAGTAGAAATTTACCATGTTACATTTGTCCACTTGCTAAGCAAAGGAGATTGTCTTTTATATCAAATAATCGTGTTTCTGATCATCCTTTTGAACTCGTTCATGCTGATATTTGGGGTCCATATCAGGTTGAATCACATACGGGTTACAGATTTTTCTTAACATTGGTTGATGATTCTTCGAGATTCACATGGATTTATCTGTTAAAGCAAAAATCAGACGTAAGCACTATTATTCCAAGATTTTTTAACATGGTGGCAACTCAGTTTAATGCCAAAATCAAGACTTTTAGGTCAGATAATGCTCCTGAACTAGCACTTGCAGATTTTTTGGCAACCCATGGCACTTTACATCAATTTAGTTGTGTGGAGAGACCCCAGCAGAATTCTGTGGTGGAACATAAGCATCAGCATCTTTTGAACGTTGCAAGGGCCTTGTTCTTCCAGTCAAAAGTTCCAATCAAATTCTGGACTGAGTGTGTGTTGACTGCCACTTTCCTCATAAATAGAACTCCCTCTCCTATTTTAAAACATCAAACTCCTTATGCTTTACTCTACCAGAAAGCTGTAGACTATTCTACCCTTCGAGTTTTTGGCTGTTTAGCCTTCTCCTCCACATTATCTGCTCACCGAAGCAAGTTTCAGCCAAGGGCTAGGCTCTGTGTTTTTCTGGGATATCCTCCCGGAGTGAAATGTTACAAGCTTTATGATATTGATTCCAAGAAAATTTTCATATCTCGTGATGTGGTTTTCCACGAGAATATATTTCCTTTTCATTCCATAAAACCATCTGCTTCTATTGTTGATCCATTTCCTGATCTTGTACTGCCAAATCCACCATCAGCCACTTCTGATCTTTCTCATCTTCAAGCTACCACTTCAGAGTCTACTGTTCAAATTTCACCAGTTGACAATCATTTATCATCTCAGTCAATCCCCATACAGGCTTCTGAACATATGTCCCAGCCTATCACTGAGCAATTCCCCACTAATTCTGATGATCAACCCATCTCCATCAGCAATGTTAGAAAATCTCATAGGGCCGTTCATGCCCCAAAGTATCTTCAAGATTACCACTGTAATCTAATCTCTCAAACTCCTTCTCCTTCACCTCATAATATTAGCCACTTCTTGTCATATAATAAACTGTCACCCACTCACAGACATCTCATACTGACTCTTTCTTCTACTTTTGAACCAAAATTTTATCATCAGGCTGTCAAAATTCCAGAGTGGCGTGATGCCATGAAGTCAGAACTTGATGCTATGGAACAAAACAAGACTTGGTCAGTTGTGCCTTTGCCTTCTGGTAAACAAACTGTGGGTTGTCGATGGGTTTACAAAATAAAATATACCTCAGATGGGACCATTGAGAGACATAAGGCTCGTCTCGTGGCCAAGGGGTACACCCAACAAGAGGGTCTTGATTATTTCGACACTTTTTCCCCAGTAGCAAAAATTGTGACTGTCAAAGTCCTTCTTGCTCTTGCAGCCAGTCACAACTGGATTTTATCTCAGCTTGATGTCAACAACGCATTTCTGAACGGTGATTTATTTGAAGAGGTATACATGGATCTTCCTCCTGGGTATAATGTTCAGAACACTCAGGGTAAACCTGTTTGTAGGTTACATAAATCCATTTATGGACTCAAGCAGGCCAGTCGCCAGTGGAATTTTAAGTTTTCCCAGGCACTTGTTCAGTATGGCTTCACTCAGTCAAAAGCAGATTACTCTCTGTTCACCAAAGGCTCCGGCAATGGTTTTGTGGCTTTATTGGTATATGTGGATGACATAGTCATCACTGGACCCAATTCTGTGGTCATCAACTCCCTTAAATCTTTCTTACATTCAGTTTTTAAATTGAAAGATCTGGGGTGTTTGAAGTATTTTTTGGGCATTGAAGTTGCCCGTTCCAAGTCAGGCATTGTGATTTCTCAATGTCATTACACCCTGCAATTGTTGGAAGATGCAGGTTATTTGAATTGCAAGCCAGTAGCAACTCCTATGGATCCAAGGATATCTCTTAGTCTTCATGAAGGGGATTTGTTATCTGATGCAACTTCTTACAGAAGGTTGGTTGGCAGGCTGATTTATTTAACTATCTCTCGGCCGGATATTACTTATGCAGTTCACAAATTAAGTCAATTCCTGTCTCAACCTCGTCTGCCACATCTTAAGGCTGTACATCATCTCTTGCGTTTTCTGAAAACCAGCCCTAGTCAGGGCTTATTCTTTCCAGCTTATTCTTCCTCTCCAGTCAGTTTAAGAGCATTTTCAGATGCTGATTGGGGATCTTGTGTTGACACCAGAAAATCCACTACTGGTTTTTGTATATTTCTTGGAGATTCATTAGTTTCTTGGAAGGCAAAGAGACAGACCACCGTTTCTCGTTCATCTGCTGAGGCAGAATACCGTGCCCTTGCTGCTACCATCAGTGAGCTCCTCTGGTTAGCTCAATTGTTGAAGGATTTTCAATCATCTGCAAGCACTCCTGCTGTGCTTTTCTGTGACAATCAAGTCGCTATTCGGATTGCCAATAATCCTATCTTTCACGAACGGACTAAGCACATCGAGATAGACTGCCACTTCATTCGTGATAAGGTTGCTTTAGGGATAGTCAAGCTCCTCCCAATCCGATCTCAGCATCAGCTTGTTGATGTCTTCACCAAGCCACTTCCAGCTCCGGCTCTTGCATCCTTAATATCCAAGATGTCTGTGAAGGATATCCACAGTACATCTTGAGGGGGGAATGTTAGATTCTAGATGATTCTAGATGGCTCTCGATCTCTCTCGAACATTGCCACATTTCAATTCTGTTAGATGGTTAGCTTAGTTGTTAGAATGTTAGTTAGTGTTAGTTAGTTTTGGCGCCAACTCTTTTTTCTTATTTATGTAGCTGCTGTAATCCCTTTTCAATTAAGTTGAATTAAACATAATTCTCTTCTTATTGTGTTCTCTCTCAAATCTGATACATGGTATAAAAGTGAAGAAAATTGGGGAGCCCATTTGGAAAACTAAGTTTGGTAGGAAAGATAAAGTAGCTGAGAGCCTAGACCTAGGCAACATATGGTGTAAAAACAATTCTGCAGTGGACACGAAGCTGGGATTGTTTTATATGTAATTCAAGTCCTTTGAAGTGCATTAAGTAATCTAAAACTTCCTGAAGCTTGGCAATGAATTCTTACTGGTTAAAGGGGATAAATGGATCGCATATCCTCATTTTCATCAATATCATCTTTCCATATAATGCCATCTTATTTTCACAATGAAATCGTGAAACCACTTATAACTTCAATTATTTCCTGTAAGCTTAATGATAGAGCACGCGATTTGACGAGGTTTCTTACCTACTTATTCTTTCTCCTCCTTTTCATGCTCTAGACTTTATTCTCTTCATAGATCTTTTTTTTAGGTCCTTTTTAGTCTTATCTTATGCATTCCCTAACTTATTTACTTATCCTTTTCAAGCCTTCATGACAACTAAGGTCCTCTCTAAAGCCAAATATTAAAAACATATGTGATTGCTAAGAAAATCAACACTAACGTTCTACTACAAGTACATCAATCATTTAAGCTTAGTCCACCAAGCAAAGTAGAGAAACACAAATTCCAACTTCTGCATTGCAGTTTCACTATGGATATACAGTTATGATTGTTTATGGTCTCCAGACAATTTGTTTTCCTGCCTCTCTCCCTAACTTATTTGTTAAGATCTTGCTACATGTATATCAAGATTTACATAATGTATTATATTATGCCACATGACACTCTACCATTTGCCAGTTTAAAATACAATGAACTTTTTCATCCAATCTTTTTCCTACACATCATATTATGTAATCCATTATGTACATTTTTTATGTACAAGTAACAAAATCATATTTGTTATATACAACATTTGGTTGTGTGCTAGTAAGAAAGCTCCTAAGGAATTCAGAATCTTTTGAAGCTTTATTGACGTAGTATCCGCGTAACAATTATCAAATAATCACTAAAACTGTAAGACGAGAGAAGAGAACGGAAGGAGAGAAGAGAGGAAGACTAACTAGAGAGGGACAGAAAAACAGACATGAAGAACCGAGATAGAGAGGAACATTGAAAAGCTTGTATTGTAATTCAGTGATCATAAGTTGTTCATAATGTAAAAACCTTGTCCTTAATTATAGTTGAAATCCCCTACTAAACAAGGAAGTAAAATAAAAAACAAGAAAATCCTTCATAATAAATCCTATTTCTTTTCCCTTAATTAAGTATCAAAACTTGGCAAGTCTTCATTATAATATCTTACAAAATCTCCATCATTTCTCCCCGGCTGAGAAAATTTGACTCCGCCTAGATAGACTGCGACAATTTTTCCAAGGGGGTTGATCCTTTCTTTCGAATCAAGTATCATGTTGACTTCCTAGTGGCAGTGTAATGTGCAAATCAACCCCTCCGCCCCCAATGACATCCCTGGCTCCACATAAATAGAACGAGCACGAGGAATTAGTACAGTAGGCAGAATGTTCGTTAGTATGAACTTTTGGCAGCATGGTAGTAGATGAGGCAGATACATCACCCTTATTCAAGGTAAGCACGGCTATAGTCCAAAAGGTTGTCCAACTGTTTATTCAAGGAAGAAGATTCACTACTAGACTTAGTGAATAAGCTAAGGTGAGACTGTCAAGAGTCAGGAGGAAAGTAAGGTATAATTCGCATAGTTTCAAAGTATGGTGCCCTACAATAAACTTCTTTTGTGGATTCAAGTGAATATAAATTAATAACATGCTTGATTACAATGTTCAACCTGTTGATATAACTGGAGATTTTGATTTGAAGAGCTACAGAAATTTCACGATGGTAGGCTAGATTCTCGAAGTTGATTATATACTTGATAACAGAAAACATACCCTAACTGAAGTTTATAAATTTGGTGTAAAAAACTGACTTTTATAATAGGATGTGACATATTCTTGTTTTGAAATTAGTTTTATCTCATCCCACAAAGTGATAGGGGTTTGACTTAAATCCTCGTCTTCACGCAACATTGCTTGCCAATAATGCTTAGCCTACCCTGCCATTTTCATACAAGCAAAAATGATAGAATGGGCATCATTTATGCCATACCAATTTAAGTAACTGTCAAGGGAGTCAATCCAATCAAGAAATGCCTCGGGACCTAATTATATGAAAGAGAGAGATCCATGAAAAAGAGAGTGGGGGAAAATCGAAAAAATTGTATTGTGATTCAATGATCAAAAGTTGTTCACATTGAAGAACCCTACTATTACTTATAGTTGAAATGCCTATTAAACAAGGAAATAAAATAATATACAAGATAATCGTTCAACATAAATCGTCTAAATGTATGTTATTTTAAGTATCCAGAGAATACCCTCTTTCCCTGCATTCTTCTAATTTCTTCTTTTTATTGGCATCTTTCAATAGGAAATAAATTAGAAACAAGAAATACAACTACGAACAAAAGAAGCATACTGGAAAATAATGGAGATGAACAAAGAGCAATTCGACAAGGTAAGATAATCCAAACCACCTTACTACAAGATCGATGACCACGGAAAATTTAAAAAAAAAAAGGATGAAAAGTACTAGTGATATTAGACGAGGTTGCAAGATCATTCACTACCCAACCACAAAGATCATGAAAGGAAAATGATTTTAAATCCCTTGGAATGGAATCACCATTAGCAACAAGTATTGTAAAAATATTACATTTAATAACTTACATACAGATATAAACTTACAGCTAGTTGGAGCAGTGCAAAACCACAATCTGTTGCAAAGAATGACTTCACAGTGTGTTTTCTCTTTGTCTTGTAAGAATAAATCATCATCTCAAGAACCTAAAGAACAAGAAAAAATAACATAGAATTCATGGAATTATGAACCACGAGTATGTGAAATTCAAACTTAGCCGAGAATGAAAAAAATCAGAACCATGCATCAATCATAATTACTACTATTTGGTAGGGCTGTTGATGGATTGGATTTTGATCCAAATCCGACGAAATTAATGGGAGATGGATTTAGGGAAATTATAAAAAATCAG